GCTGTGGAAAAAGTGATTAAATCCAGCCCTCGCACTAAGCGAAAACTTCAAACCGGTGACGTCCTCTCCATCATACAACGACGGTACTCCACCGACACCACCCCCCTTTTAGGAGGCCCCACGTGGGACGAGGAATGCCACAAACATCTCACCGACTTTGCCGATAAACTTAGCGAGAAGCTTCTCCAAGAAATCGATCAATATCAGGAGAAAAGTAAAGCTTTGACCACATCGATCGAGAACATCGACGACCCGTATATTCATCGATTGAGCGAAGAACTCGACGATCTGTCTAAATTAAGTGCTGAGATACAGAAACAGAACGAGTATTTAGCCAAGTTGAGTGCAAGTGATAGTTTGTTTAATCGACCTTGTACAAAGTGTAGAGAAGTCGAGTGTAAATGCTACGAAAGAACTAAAACGAAAGAAAAAACTGAAACGAAAAAAGTGCCAGTTAGTGAGTATTTCAGTGTGAAAAATGACGCTTTTAAAAGGTCGCACACGAACGAGTCGTTGAGTGAATCACCGGAGTTTGCTTCCAGTTGTAAGCTGTCAGTTAGTAAGACTTCCATCAGGATGGGAACGTCGACGGATTCATGCGATTCGGATAAAGGTAAACCACCTAAAATTATTTCTATAGAATATCTAATTGAATGTAAATCAACAGAAAATAAAACATATTTGAAAAATCTGGTTTTCCAAACAATAAAATAAAAATTAAAAACATATCACTTCGAAATATAGGTATGGGAATGTATATTTAGAAATGAGGAGCAGACTTTCAAAAAGCAGTTTGTCCAAATTTGCATTTTTGCAGGAGAGAACAAAAATTGTCCTTCTTTTTAGAAATAATTTTAATTTTTTATATCAGTGACAATAAATGTGAAATAGTACATTACAAGCGAGGTGGTATATATGGCATTACCCCTAGTGTTTATGTATACGATCGAGAGGCGCCAGCATATTATTTTTAATCAAAAATAAAATTAAATTCTAAGAAAGTTAAGGTTCAGAAATGTCAAAAAGAATATTGAGATAATGTGTGAATCTGATTTAAAATCGTCGAAATGGAGCAGTGTACTCTCCCAGAAGTAAGAGAAACTGTTAAAAAGCAATTGAATAATAATTTATCAAGATATTATGCGTAACTTGACAATTTGAAAGAAAAATTTCCCGGTATATTTGTAATTTTAAGGTTGGCTATCCTGCATATCACCGCCCAAAAGAAGTAATAATATTACTCCTTATGAGATTTAATGATGTCTTTCCCAACCTTTAAAAGGTTAGTAATCGGCTTATTACATTAGTGATTCAGTACACACTGAATACAATTGGACACTAATTTTACGGCTGGAGTACTTAGGCATTTTACAAAAAAACTTTAAAAACCTTTATCTCAATTCATAAAAACATGGACAAATTTCATTTTGAAAGTCTGCTCACAAAAAAAAAAACACAAAAAGACAAGTTTATTCCTCACAAAAATTTGAACAGACCAGTTTCTTATTTTTTAACGTAAAAGACAATAAAACGACCAAAACGAAAAAAAAAAAGATAAAAAAATCTGTCATACACCTACACAGTTTGAGTTTTATACTTCCATCTTTTATAAAGATGGGGGGACCTTTTCACAAGCAAAGATGTTATCAGAGGCTATCTTTTTGGTTTTACAAGATTTGTCAAAAAATTACATACAAAATTGCATTAAGTAATGAAAACCCTACAAGATGTTAAAATCACCTTCACCAATATTTTTTATAATCTGTAATAATTTACCCAAAAAGAGATTCGAAACAAAATAAAATATTAATAACTAATTAGGCTATTCTCTAAAAATCTGCTATAGTCTATAAGCTGGTATATTCCATAGCTAATAGAGCTCTGTATATAAATTTTTTAAAGTCCTTATAGAATCGTATCAAAATAGGTATTCTCTAAGCGTCTATGTAAACATTCGAGTTATAGCGCTGTAATTACCCTAAAGTCTGTTTTTTATTAAGTGGAAATGTCAAACAGTCTTAACAAATTTATTCATGGTAATTTTTGGATGTTGGCAGTTCCAGTTTTTAATTTAATTAATAAAAAATGGCATTCAGCAAAAAAAATCGTCTAAGAAAATTTAGAAATGAAAACACAAAAACGGGAACAAATTGAGTAACAGTTTTTGAAAATTTGAAGACGAAAAGTCAGAAAAAGACTACCGCTAAAATTTAGACACAATTTGTAATGTAAATTTGCTAAACATTCTCTAATTTTTAGTAAGAAATTAATGAGAATACAACATAAACATCAAAGAGAAAAAAACGTAATTAAATTAGTAGGATTGTTTGCAACGTTTTTAAAGAACGAGTTGAAGAAGTAACAATTTTGAAACTAAAGCCGAAGGAGAATTTAGAAAATGCATCAACTTTGAGCTCATATTAATAAATTACACAAAAATTTATTACCGATTTTCATAAAACCTGCTTGTACCTTTTACAAAATAACTTTTTTCTAAATAGACACTCTTTTTATTAAAGTTTTTGTAGTAAGAAGCTCATTACTGTCCACAACATTACCTTCTTTTTTCTTCATTTAATAATAAATATAATGCAATTAGTGCAATATTATTACGATCCATCACTGAACTATGTACTTATTATTAACTTTACACGATACCAATAATTATAAGAGAACAAAAATTAGCATCACTGGCGAAATACGGAGAGAAGTACTTATAATAAATTATTGAGGAGTGACATTGTTACTATGACAATATATCGTTATAAAGACTATAAGTCTTTACGGTCAGCAAATTTCTCGCCATAACTTTATAGAGATTTTAAGCTTATAGAATTTTAGGTATAGAGAAATATTTCCTTAGAGAATTCGATTTTTACTTATAGTCGATAGCTTAAAGAGTTATAGCGCTATAGCACGTATTTTTTTTTTACAGAATAGCACATTCAACATCGCTATTTGAAACAGATTTAATTCTATTTAATAAATAAAAATTTTCTTTGTGTTATTTAAAGTAAATAAGAAAAGACTGAAAATAAAAATACACAAAAAAACGATTTTCTTTTAAAAATAATATACTATGTAAAAAGGAAAAAAAAAACATTTTTTCTATCAGAGACAAACATTTTTGCTTACAGCTTAAGTTTTTAAGGTTTAAAAAGAAAATTCCTGTGTTAGGCAATAACTAATGGCTTTAGACTTTCTCTAGTAGTAAATTTTGTCTTTTCGTTTTTAGGCAGTAGCACCAACTCGATGATTTCGAGCGTGGCGACATCAATCAATTTCGGTCAGTCAGTGGAGTCGGCCGATGGTCTTGAAAGTCACAAAGACACTAACTCGATCAGCAGATACAGTGACGGGGGAAGCACCGCATCCTTGGCCTCGTGTCCCGAGTGGAAAACGATTAAACCGAAAACCGAAGAAAGATTATCGAATTCAACCATTAGTCTCGAGAGCGATTCGTCGAAAAAGCGCGAAAAGTCGACACTATTGAGTGATACATCGCAGGATTCGCTGCCATCGGACAATATCGGCGGCGAAATAACCTATCATAGATATTATCACGTGTTTAGAGAGGGAGAATTGGACCAATTGATAGAAAAATATGTAGAAAACCTCCACATTATATCGTCTTATTACGACCACGCCAGCTGGTGTATAATTGCCGAAAAGGTGCAAGTATGGACTATCTGACGTGTTGGAATAGAAATGAATCAACGTCAAAGCACAATGTACATAAATGTTCTCTTTAATATAGGCATTCAGATAGTTGCAGGCCACTCATCTTATGAAGGTTGGGCTCATTTCTCACTTCGCAAATAGAGATTTCCTCTTAGGAACTTTAATCAATTCCTGGCCTTACCTTCGACTGTATAGTTTTTCATAAGCCTACATTAATACTAAATGCTAAAGTCGCCTACCTTGTTAGAAATTAATAGAACTCTATTACAGTTAACAGAATGTGTAGATTATTGCTAATTAATCATGGTTCTGTTTAGAATTCTTTTCATATTTCAAGCTCAAATCGACCTATAGTCAAACTTTGTGTGTTTATGTAAAGTATAGCAAATTAGCTCTTATATTTTTTATACAATAATACAAGTAAAATAATTAATTCAATGATCATTTCAGTATTTTCGATTTTTTCACGCGCAACTTCCCGTTATATGTTCGTTCATCACAAAACTGTACCGAAATTGTGCTGGAAAAATCATTTGCCGAATGAGATTTTAATTACATATCATTTATTAATTATACGTTCCAAAGAATTCAATTTCATTTGTTTCACAAAATTTCGGAACAGTTTGCATTTTCTAAACGATTGATGAACTGAAACTAGATAAGTATGAAAATGAAATATGCATCTGTTTTTTCCAAAAGGTTTTTATAAAGTGTGTGGAAAACAGATTTCGTATTGTAAACGGTTGCAGAAAATCTTCCCCATGTCCATTTATCGCATTAAAATGCTCCTAATTTTTTATTGCTATAAAATGTAATGAAAAGTACATATGACCTAAGAAATAATAATCGGCAGAAATTTTTAAACATGAGTTTAGCGTTAGATAACGTGACGACTCTTTTAGGTAACTGACGCAATGTTGCGTAAAAAAGTCCTCATAAATAGTTGAAGATAGCTTTAAATAATTGATTCTTGATTAATACGCTATTTTTCATATCTTACGATATATTTATAAAGTAATACAATTTGGGGTTAGTATAAACCAAACAGACAAATAATAACAAATTTCTTTGATTATTTAAAGGACTCATCCAACTCGGTTACCCATCTTAAGAAAGTATTAAACTTTGTGCCTGTCTTGTATGGTGGAGAATTTTGATACTTAAAATAGGATTCAACGAAAAACTTTGATGTGACATGTATTTCACTCTATAAATCATTAAAAACTACAAACTAAATTTGCATTTGACTTGTTGTGTTTAATAAAAATATACTCAAATGTTCAACTTTTTTTCAGTCACCTCAAATCCAAATAAAACAATTAACTCTGAATCGTCTATTATTAAGTCAGATTTATACAAAATAAGCCGCAAGTTGGGCCATTTTATCTTTAGGTTTAGGCCGACCTCTACCCCTCCCTCTACTCGGTGCTTTCCCACCTCTAAATGGCCGAGGTCTTGTACTAACAGCAGTTTTAGGCTTATCAACAAGTCGCCCAAACTCAGTAGTGCAAAAAATGCAACCTTTCATCTCTGTGACTCCATTGGGCAACTTGCTCTTCTCGGGTTTATATTCAATGTTCATTAATTGGGCCCCACAGTCGCACACTTCCGGCAACACTGTCAGTTTTTGAGCATCATCGAAGAGATTTAAGATGGTGTCACACCTAAAATTAAAGAACAGATGGCGCGGTTATTTGTGTCCAATACATATGGTGTAGTACAAACCGAGTACATCCAAGCTTCCATTTGGGGCCTGAAGACGGGTCAAGGACTAAAACACCAGAATCACACTCAACGCAACTGCAAACACCGTTACTGTTGAAGCTGTAAGGGCAAGATGGGTGTGAACAGGAATTGCAGCCGGTGCCCTTTTTCATGTCTCTGATAAAAAATATTAAGTAAATTGGTCAAAAAATTTGAACTACTTACTTAAAGGGTGGATGGTTGTAGCAGTATGGGCAAAAAACGAAACTTTTCCCTTTGTTACCCATAGTCCAGTATAACAATTCGAAGTCGTCAAGAGGACATTTGAGTTCTTTGAATAGTTTTATGGTTCCGTTTTGGGGTAAACTGTAAGTCTCATCGCACTGTGGGCAATGCAATCTCGGGGGTTTTGCTTGAATATATTTCATATATCTGCGACATTTTCCACATCTACAAACTTAACTTAATGATTTTAACGTATGTATTAAAATTGAGCAGACCTCGAATGTGCCTTTCCTGAGGCACTTAAGGGCGAAAAAGAAACCTCAAATAGTTGATCCATTCCGTCAATATTTTTCACAAAGTATTGAAACTTCAATTTGAAAATTTCGACAGTGTGTCTAAGAACTGCATGAAAATTAGCTTTACCTAAAGCAATGAGATTCAATTGTTCCTCAACAGCTGACCGCATGGTCGGCAAAACTAATTCAGCGTCGATCTACAATAATTTTTGACAATTAAAGTGTTAATTAAATACGAAAAAAATACTTTTTGGTATCCGTGTACCAAGACGATTCCTAAAGTTGTCGGTTTTAATTTTCGTCCCGACGTCACAGTTACGTAATTTCTTTGACAAATATTGTTAATATGGACCGGAATGGAGGCATCAGTGCCAATTCCGTGCGTTTCCATCAACGTAATCAATTCAGCTTCGGTCAAATAATCCGGAGGTGAAGTCTGATGTTCCGTCAATCGCATATCTTTGATTGGTACCGACTCATTTTCGGACAAATTCGGAACTATTTCGTTCTTATCCAACGCTTGCCACGTCATCACTGTTGTGTAGCCCGGATCGAGGAGCGTTTTCCCAGTCACAGTGAAAATCTCCTCATTTATATCAACAGTTGCTGTGGTACTCAAATATTTACAATCCCGAGCCAGAGTACCGATAAAATGTCGTGTAATATAATCGTATAATTTCCACGAATCGGAATCGAGTTCGTTCCGTGTTGCTAACTTCATGGGGGTGATCGGAGGGTGGTCCCCGGCATCGTGGCCTTGTTTAGGTCTATTAACTCCACGTGACAAGATTTCGCGGACTTCGTCCCCCCATTCTGTACTGTTTTGTTGCTGTCGAAGCACGCCACTGAAATTCTTTATAAGATAATTGCTAGTAGAAAAAATTGTGTATTTACACCAAATCGAAATTTTCAGGGTAGCGAGTTGTTTCGGTCCGGGGATAACTTATATACCCTTGAGTGTATAATTTTTCAGCGAGTTGCATGGCATGGTGGGGGCCCATGCCCAGACCAGAGCTCGCAACGCGCATCAATTCAACGGTGTTTAAAGCCACAGGACGACTTTTTGCTTTTTCTTTAGACGATACGTTAATAACCCTTGATAAAAAATCAATTAAAATTGCACAAGTGATGGATAATCAGACTTACTTAGCTTGTTTCTGGTCCTTGATTTGTTGTAAAAACATATTTGCGACTTCTTTATCAAAACAACGGACTCGTTTCCAATCCAAATTAACATCATTGCCGTCTTTTGTCACAATGGTGGCTTTGATGACCCAGTAAGTTTCAGGTTTGAATGTCTGGATTTGGTCGTGTCTTTGAACACAAAACCCCAAAGTGGGAGTCTGACAAGGGCCGTAAGAAATTAAAGACGAGTCTAAATCGCCATAACGGCCTTGAAAAAATTTGGTTTGGAAGCGAGTGAAAGCGCAACCGATTCGTAAATCTAGCTCTTGGCGAGCATCAACGCTCCTAGCTTCATTCTCATTAGGGTGGGCTACAATTCAAACAATGGTAGAAAAAATTTCATATAATAATTCTTTTTACCTAAATTGTTGAAAGCCGCCTTGATATCTTTATCAGTTATCGCGGAAAAGCGCGCTCGGTAAGTCACCTTATCCGAGTAAACGTCCCCATTCATGCTTCTCGCTACACAATTCATAACTTCAAAACAAATATTTTCGCCCTCTTTATCGCAATCAAGCCACAAAACCAAATTATCGCATCCTTTAGCCTCATGACCCAAAAAGTAAGGCATTTTAAATTTCGGGGTGGCTTCTTTTTTCTCTATAGGGCATGAAAAGAGCTCAACTGGATCAACCCTGTCCCAATTATTGTACTTGCTTATAAAATCGACTCCCATGACGTGACCGCAAACTGACGTCATTTTGAACCTTGCTGGGGTTCCTTGAAACGTCCCGTTCCATTCGTGAACCGAACAGATGCCGTTTGAACCTAAAATTAAGGGAGTTGTTTTAGAATTTATGATTATAAGGGGGGCGACTAACCTTTACGACTTGAGTTAGAGCCGTTGCTCAATATGCTAGCGAGGGAAGCTGCCAATGAAGGCTTTTCAGCCACCATTAAAACAGTTTTCATTGTGGTAGACTAATATTTAAAGTAAATATACCACTTGATTCAACATAACCTACAAAAAGTAACAAGTTGTCAAATGTCGAAAAGTTAGGTTACGAAATATTTTATTCCCCTTTTTAGTTATTCACGATATTTAAAACAACAGTTTCTAAAAAAAGATATTAATTATTGCAAGACTATGAGGAAAAATGAAACTTTTATATTCATAATTTTAAATTAGAAAAGTACTGCATTGGGAATTTTGTTTTCAAAGGGTTGTCAGCGTGTCAGAAAAGTCCCCAATGTGTTGTAATTACATGTTGTAACGAAATGGTTGCGTGTATGCGAAATTGCGATTTTCACTAAGTAAATTTTCCTGTAAATAGTCACTGATTTCATTCCCGTTTACCGTTTTGAATATAAGTGTTTTAAAATGTTTCGTTTTGCAGTTTACGTAGTTATTTTTATGTTGTCTTTCGGCTCGGAATTTCTGAATGATTTGCAGTCAGTATTCGGCGATAAGCATTGCATAGACGGTAAATATAATCGTGTTTTTTGTTTATAATTACTCAGTGTGATACATTCCAGCATCTCTGATTTCAATTCCTTCAAAAAGAGATAGTTTCATCATGTTGGGTAAGTCTAACCACTTATTTTTCCATTCTTTTATTTGTAACGGCTTTTTAGAATCAGACAAAGCATTAGGAGAGCCGCAAAATGAGTCTATAATGGTTACAAAAAATCTTCAAAAAAGTATTGTGGCAACAATTCATGAGTTAGCTCAATTCAACGAAATTGAATGTTCTTATACGTTAAAGTCTGAAGAGGTTAGGGTTTTCGTCACTTTTATAAACTGTTAATATTGATAAGCAATACTTTAGGGCCCACCTCATGCAAAAGTTTTTAAAGTCTCTTTAGTTTTGGGCGATGAAACTTACGAAGGTTCAGGTTCTAGTTTGAAAAAAGCTCAACAAGAAGCAGCAGCTTTAGCTTTTCAAGAGACATTTTACGAGCATCCTCCGGAGAAAATTAAAACACAGCAGGAGAAATCTTTGACTCCAACAGTTGCACTAAACAATGTTGCAACCAAACTTGGAATTGCCGTTTCATATTTTTTGCTGAATGGCAAAGAGGAACAAGTACGATTCATTTTCAGTTTCTGTTACTTTTACATTTTATTTTCAACAGACGATTGATAGTTACGGTGCTGTTGATGAGAGTTACGGAAAATCTAAAAGTTTTTCTCCAAAATGGAACAGTACTTTTGATCCTTTGAGAGTTGCCGTTGAAGAGGCTCAGATTTCGGGGCCATTTGCAGTGAGAGTAAAAGTAGGAGATTCAGTCTTTGAAGGATTTGGACAAACAATTCAAGCAGCACGTCATGATGCAGCATTAAAAGCACTTAAAGACATGGAAAGACAAGCATTATTCAAAGACCACGTGTGTTCTCGTGAAGGTAAAGTGTATTTTGGGTTGCATATGTTACTCCGCGGGTATTTGATCTTTTCAATTTGATAATTTTTTCTCAGATTCGGTGGAAGAATGTAAAAAATTAAAAGACAGTGTTAAATCGCCCATTGCGCGTGTTCACGAAGCGGCACAAATTAGTAACTTGCCTGTCGAATTTAATGTCATCAGTGAATCGGGAAAATCGCATAAAAAACGTTTCATTACTGAATGCAAGTTAGGTGATTTTGTAACTGAAGGYGAGGGTAGATCTAAAAAAGAGTCAAAACGTGAAGCAGCTGAGAGAATGTTGGAGTTTTTACCACAGCTGCAAGACAATTTCAACGAGAAAGGTATCATCAATGGTCTAAAAAACAAGAAAAAGAAGAATAAGAAGAAAAATAAAGTAAAGAAGGAAAATGTGGTTACTTTGATGAACAGTATTGATAGTGTCGTGTCTTCTTTTTGGCAGACTGATGACTCATTAAGTGAAAATTCAAACATTCCCAAACAATTTAAAACTAAAGCATCGTCCTCAAAGTCGACTTATACCTCGCCGAAAAATAAGATTCTGGAAATAGGCAATAAGCTTAATATTGATATTGGGTTTATTGATCTTGGAAAACAGGAAAATCATTATTACTCATTGGTATCTTTAGGACTACATCCTCCACATGTAAGTTTCAATCTCATTTGAGTTTTCTTACTAAGAATTTTATATTAGGTGTGTTTGGGTAAAGCCACTGTTCAGAAACAAGCACACGAAGATGCAGCTTTACATGGCTTACAACTTTTACGAAAAACTGGGATTTTAGACAAAACTGTTTTTTCTAAAGAAAGGTAAATAATTTTCTTACATAACTCAAGTTTTTGAATGTTTTTTTTTCAGTAAACACTTTGAAGAGGATTTTGAGGTGGAGAATGAAGAAACCTTCAGAGTTTTTGATGATTTTGAGGAGAAATAAAGATAGAGAGAGTTAGATAAGAATTACTCAGTTTCAAACGGAATGTTATTGTTAAGTTCCTTTTTTGAATGTTTTGTTTCATTTTTTTTTACTGTTTCCAATAAACGTTTTTTTTGATATTATGCGGTTTATTTGATACGATTTCCACATTTTTCACCAATTTTGTCTGATTTAACAACAGGAATTTCTTCCCAGATTTTTTATTTTTTAACAAACTTGTAATAAGAGGTAAATAAACATATCATAGCGCCGTCAGGAAGAACGTTTCAGGCACATTTCTTTCAAATAAACACTATCGATCTCGTTACTATTTTAACTTTACACTTTGAAATCTCATAAATCACTAGAAAATACAAATCAATTTATAAAATTAAATGGATCAGTTTTTTAAAGCAGTTGCCCACTTTTTTTAGAGTAGAGCAATTATTATTTTTTGCTTATCTCAAAATTCAACCTACACTGACTAATGCATTACAATTTTTTTAACCTTTGCAATTAGTTTCTCATCCATTAAACTTTACTTGTTGATTTACTTTTTGTATATTGTTCGAAACAAAAGTATGTTTTTTAAGACTCCTCGCAACGGTCTAGTCATCACAAATTTAATGAATATTTTTAGTGAAAGTGGTCTTGGATTACTTCTCGTTCACATGTCTATCCACCTATCCCATGTTTCACTAAAACCAATCCTTCTATACGCATCTATGCAGTTGTGACGTTAAATGTGATGTCGTTTGAGAGCGACGTCGAGACGTCCATTGCGACGTCGACGCCACTAAGAGACGATCGAGACACCGGAAGATCAAGCTTCTAATCATAAATCTCGTGGTTTATGGTTTTGGAAACTATCGGTTTTATTTCAGAAGTAATAGTTCGGGTTTATACATCGTCTCTAATGTTTGTTTAATTTGTGTTATATTGTTACTACCGCTGTTCGGACACTTTGTTAGATATTACACAAAAACAGACGTTAATGATAATAATTCTTTGAGTTAAATTTGAGAGTAAACTAAACCAGGTCTAGCTTCAAAAAGAATTCTTGGATAAATGTTTATTCTTGTGTTTATTTAAACATCAAGGGATTACTAATGACGTTGCTAGTCAAAACTTTAAAACATGAGAGCACTTTTATTGGTAAGTAGTTTAGGATAAAGTTTAAGAATTGCTGGAACAAAAAATTTAATGGTTGTGATTTCTGCTTCTATTTTTTTTAAAATTATACCTACTTGTCTTTCGTAAATAATAACTTTGAATGTGACATTTTTTGTGTTTACTTTCAAGTATTGTTTTCTTAATTATTTAATTGCCTTATTACATGTAATAATTTACAAATGATTGCACAAAATCTTTATCAGTACGAATGAATCAATTAATATTTTACGTGTGGTAGAATGCATTCTTGAAAATTACATCTTTTGGGCTTTTGGAGAACAAATTAAAGAAGTGCAGAGTTTTTGTTAAAAAAATATTAAAAACACCCCAAGAAATAAACGTTTTACTCTCATATATTAACAACAAAAAAATTAAACTATCATAAAAATAAGAATAATATTCGCTTTTGAACTTGTCTAAAATATCGTTTTTTTTTTCATGTTAATGTGAAGTTGCTGTATTATCAAGAGGACAGACCAGTTTTATAATTGGATTAATATGTTTTAATTTTTTTGTAACAATTATGCACAAATTTATGTATTAAATTGGTACTTTAGCAAATTTTAGAACAGCATGGGACTGAAAATAAAGACAGGGTAATGGAAGGTAAAAAATTAACAAGTTGAATTTGATAGCAAAGCTAATTAACTTTTAATTTTGGATGTTTCATTTTAATAATGTTTAATAAATTTTTTTTTTTTAATTTGATGGTGATGATTACAGTCTTTTTTGTCTCTCGTAGTTTTCCGTCTAAAGTAAAGTCGTTATAATGAGATCTGCACATTCTTTTAATTATTTTTTTATTTTTATAAAGGCAAGTGTCATATTTGTTATGCAATGGGGAAGTAAATTAATTATGTAATTTCAAAATCTTGAAAGCATTTTTAAGATACATAGAAAATTGTCCCGAAATGTGAATTTAGAATATTTCAAAATTTTCAGGTATAAGCGGGGTTATAAGCTTTTTAAACGATTTTACGATAAAATTTTATTATAAAATTTTCCAAAACATAAAATTTTAGAAAATGTGAGTGGTTACGCAAATGGGACCCTAAAGAAAATAATAAATTTCGAGAAACACGTGAAAAAAGTTTCAGAGTTATGCTGGCAGACAGACCAGTGATGCAAAGAAAAAGTTTAAGTCTTATTAGAAATATTAAAAAAACTAATTGACTATGGTATTTTATTAAAAATAATAGATACTAGATTTAATAATTATAGACATAGGAACTTAAAAAAAATTAAAAGTCAATTAAAATCTAAAAACGTGTGATTTTACTAATTTTAAATATTGCTGGGATTTTATAAATTACTCCTATAATATTATAAAGGGGGATTTTAAGGTATGTGCAAATATTTTAACATGTAATAGTAGAGCTCAAAACCTTTTGAAGTCAAAATAACTCAACTTGCCTTATCCGAATGTTTATAGTTTCTGAGATATAGAGGGTGCAGCCTCCACATTGGCGTCGGAAAAAATGTCAAAAAAATGCAATATAAACGAAGTTTGAACTTTTTTACCTTATCCCAAAATTTGCTAGTAGTCGGTAACGTTTGAGTTAATGAAATCGGGTGATATCTTCAACCAAAAATTTAATTCAAAATTTTTACCGTCTTGTGATTTTTTTTTAATGGAGACACTTTGATGTGTGCCTATTTTTGCAAATTTTAACTCATTTTTTTTAAACAATGTAATAGATTTTGAAAATCTTCAGATATCATATTTGTTTATAATTTGAGTTGTTAAAGTTTGAGGCCGCGCTCCAAACTTAGGTAAATATATTCGACGAACAAATCCCTCTATATCTCAAAAACTATAAACATTCGGATAAGACAAGTTGAGTTATTTTGATTTCTTTTGACTCTACTATCACTTGTTAAATAAAATATTTGCACATACAGTCAAATTCAAAAAAAAAAATGGGCGTCATTGTAACATTTCGACAAAAAAAATATATGTTTCTGTGCAAATGAGCGTACTTAAATTTACAGAAATAAATTACTTAACATCATGATTCATGAAGTTTGGTAATTTATCATCAAATCAATTTTGTTGATAAAATGAAAATTATTTATAATTTACTTATAATTTATTAATTTTTGAAATGAAATTGTCGACCACTTTTTCTTTGAATATGACTGTACCCTAAAATCATCCTGCATACTAGAAATTTTTAATTTGAAGTTCCTATTTCAGAACCTGAAAATAAAGCTTTTCAGACATCTTTACGAAAAAATTGCAAGAGCTTACACAACCTAAAATTTTTATTAGAAAATTTAAAATTTTAAATAAATACTTCAAGATATCTTAAAAACGCAAAAATTGTAAAATTTGTTGTGTAACTTTACGAACTTAAAAGTTTTTCATAATCTTAAGTCCTAAAAACATTCCAAGATTTAATAAATCTCCAAAATAATTTGATTTAAAACCCACAGAAGCATGAAAAGATTGAATCCATTTGGAACTGGTAAAAATTTTCAAAATTTATTTTTGGTAGCCCAGACCAGCAGGAATAGTTTTCCTGCTGCAGCTTTGTTGGGTCCGGGCCCGCTGTTTTTCCGGCAGAGGAAGTCGGCCTTTGGTCCACACCTGGAGACAGCTTGTGAGTGCGCGGCGCGTGTTGGAGTCTCGCAGGAAACCGGTCGGACGGCTCCATCGTCGGTTTCGGGCAGTTCAGTAGTCCTGCGAGCAGTGCGGAGAAAGCAGTGTCGTGTGAGCGAGCTGGTGCCGTAGCGCCGCCGTCAAATCGCGCGCCACCGCACCATGCCTCCGAGTCTCGTGCTGGTGATCGCCGCCACCGCCGCCGTGTACGCCGTCTTCGGGGCCTCCGTGCCGCCGACCGATTCCGCCACTTCCACCCCTTGCGCCATCCTCGAGGACCGCTGCCAGTGCACGCCGGACCTGCAGGAGTTCGTCTGTCGGACGGCCGGCTTCACAGAGGTGCCCCACAACCTGCCCTACTCCATCACCAAACTGTAAGTACACACCTGGGGGACCTCTCCGAATTGCCAGAAGTAAAAGCTGTTATATAAAACTAAGCCATGCTGCAATATTTCTCTTGCAACATCACTGACGGTCTGGATTTTTCGCGGAAAAACGACTCTTTTCGACGAGAAAACTTAAATACGATCGTTGTTTACATTAAATCGAAATTTTATTAAGAAGTTAGACGGACATTAAAAATTTATTGACTTTAAACTCGGTTTAAAATTGGATAACTAATCGACTTACTTAATCATTTCGTTTCCGGCTTCCTACTTTATTTTAAACTTTTATGAAATTATTTTTCGTTTTAAGTATCGATACGGTTATGGTAAGATTCCTACTAGATGGGGGCCCTTGTATGGGATATACCATAAACGTTCATCACATACGCGTTTTTCTTGCCATTAAAAACACTGCAATAGTCCTTTTTTATTTTTATTTTTTAAGCTAATTTTATTCATATTTACGTTAAGATATTTAATTGGAGACAAATTTGGTCTTCTGAAGGATAATCTCGTCTCTTAATGCATTTAAGTGCATGCAATTAATACATTGACCAATATATTATTACGTGCAGTTAATTAATGAGTTGCATATGTCTTTTTAAAAATAATTGACCCTTTGTTGTATTGTGTATATTTGTAATTAGTGTCAAACAATGACCGATTTTTTTAGTTATACAATAAATAATTTGAGAAGAAAGCTAATCTGGGGTTGAAGTACTAGAACTAAAATAGCTTAATGATCTATTTAAAGCCGACTAATGGTGTAATTAAATCTCGTTCCAATATTTTTAATTGATAAGAAGACTAAAAGTATAAAAAAGAAGTCATGAAATTTTTTATCTAATAAGAATTATTCTATATATGTATAAATGTTTCGCAAATTTCTTACGGAAAATATATTTGAGATAGGACTTAGTCCACCCACACCAAATGACTGTTATACGAGTAAATTATCCCACGAAATACCATCGCTTGAAAGTTTTTTAAATTTACTGATATTGAGGTTTATTGTTAATTTGAAACATAATTAATATTTTATATGACGTTTCATCATTACTGGTGTTAATAAATGACAAATTTAGATTTTTTTATGAATTCCTGTTACTACTTGAATACTGATTAATATGATATTTATGGATTTATTTTTTGACGTTATTATTTGCGATTTTTATTTTGGTTTTGGTTTCGTATTGAATCTTTTTATTACACTGATTTTATGTATTACTCCTTTGTAAAATTTACATGTATCATGTAAACTAAACTCTAAAACCAAATACTGTTACAAAAAGTGTTAATTATTACGAGTGAAGAACATTATTTAAGATATAAAATTATTAATTATTCCGTGATTTTTTGAAAAATTTTTTGGCTTGTGTACGTATTTAAAATAGTAGGTATTTTCACTAAGTTTTGGTATACCTATCGTTTTTTTCTTTTTTTAAGTAACTTTCTGTTTTTTATATTACAATTTATATCTTCTATTTTGTTAACAAAAGACATTCAATTAACATCAATCGTCATTCTGATGAACTTTTTAACATAGAAATTCGTCTAAGAAGTTGAAAGCATGGACAAACGTACCGGATGTTATTCTAGCCACTTTTTAAAGTTTTTTTTTTTCATAAAGTAATAAATCTAGAGCAACGTTATGAATAAAATGCCTTTCCAACTTGACAGCATTACATACTTCAGAAAAAGACGCATTTCTTGCCATTACGTGGTAAAATTGAGAGTAAATTGAATTAGTCGTAATTACGCTTCGGGATTCTCAATAATACTGAGCTAATGATAGTGAAAAATTCATTAACTTCAAGATATAGTTTTATAATGTCGAGATTAAATTTGATCGTTAATTAGAAGACTCGTTTCGCTTCTCTTCTCACTCTTACCATAAATAGAATATTCCGAGTTGATAAATTTTGCGAAACATCGGTAACTTAATTTCAACCAGGTTCTTTAATAGCCAATTTTCAGCTACTAGAACCACAAGATTCATAAATATTAATTTATTGCAAGAAGTTTGAAGTATAAATCTGTCGATGATGTACAAAATTTTCCCCATCTTTTCTCGTTTACAGGTCTAGACTGTATCATTGTTATTATGCTGCGAAAACGTCTTAATGACGATTATCATGGCATAACACGCGTCCAACTGGCCATTAAAATTTCTCTCTGGACGAAATAATTCTAATCTGCATACTTGGAGTTAATTGATTGTCTAAAATGGTAATTTTTGTGTCGTTATAATTTCGGTAACGAGCAGTGGCCAAGTTTGTGTAAACCGAACCTATAATTATTTTCGACTGGCTAGAGAATTAATTAAAATCATTAGGTTAGTAGTTTTATTCGCTCGTAAAATCTTTAATGACACTACATTTAAAATCTGATATTATTGTAATTTCATTTTTAATTTCTTGCCACTTGATCACTTATCAGGAAGTGGTGAAAAATGCCCAATGATAAACTTTGTTAAATGAGATAGAATTAACTGCAGGAAATTGCATCTTTCACAGTTTCTTTGTGATGGCCATTTATAATAACCCGAGTTCATTGTCTAGACAAAAATTTATATTAACATTCTACTTAATTTTTGTCCTGAAAAGAATCTACGTCGCCAGTTTTTCACCAGAGATTCTGGCTTGCTGACGCAAATTCACCACATTTATCTCAGTTTAGCAAAAAGGGAATAACTTAGGGATTTGGTACTTTTCGGATGTTTATTTTTAGAATTTTACTGTTTATACTAGCCTATAAATTCATTTTTCTATGTAAAAAATAGTAAAACGCCAAATAGAATTTCTACCAATTAAAAATTCGCCTCAAGCATCAATTTCATCATTCTTCAATTGGAAAATTATTAAAACTGCATTGTAATTAACCTCATTAGTGGCTATAATGCAGATGAAACACGTTGTTGCATCAAATTATTGAAAAAAGTTGGTGTAAAAGTTGACGTCTTTTAATTCATTGACAAGTGATTTTTGCTCGTTAAGTGTTGTGTGCCGAGGATTTATAATTTATGATATATTTTTTAAATACGTTTTCAGAATTTTATCTCCACTAAATGCGAATAAATACTGTTTTCGTTTATTTATTATTTTTAAAGAATTTTTTTTGAAAATGTGTAAGTCATTATCTATTTTGTATTTGATAGCAGAAATTATTTATTTAAAGACCATAAAGTCGCCCACACATTACTAAAGTAAACATTTTATTGCTATTGCTGGTTTCTCTACTTAATTTATTATTTTTAATTTGTTTCTTAGTTTTTTTGGGCTGATTCTTAAGAAATTTTTGGCTACTACTTGTTTTCTCTTTCTCTTCTTTTTGTGGTTAATTTAAAATACTTTGATTTATTAAAAAAATTGTTTGGATTTTGTACGATTTTTTTTATGCGAAGAGAATTCCAACTGTGATAACAAATTTTTGTATTTTACGGATACCCTAAATCCATTTAAATCTTTAGTCTCATTATTCTTGTATATATTAAGTCTTCTGTTGATGTTATTACTCGTTAATAAATAACGAGCGGCTTTTGAAAAAAGTGATCTACATACTACTAGGGTCTTGAACGATTTAAATAATTTACAAATAAAAATTAATTAGGATTGAATTTTCAATTTATTTTTTTACCATCGGTCAAAAACATTGATCAAATCATCATGAAATTCGATCAAAACAAATTAAATATCTTGAACGGGGTCTAGCCACGCTCATAGAATAACTAATTGAAAACAGATATTTTAAGCAGGTTTGTTGCATTATCAGTTATTACGCAACCTTTATAAACAAACGCCTACCACACTAGCTAGTTTTCGTTTCATTTGAAGATGTCGTTTGTTAGATTTTTCTGTCGGCGAGGCCGTATAATAACTTGTGCAATCGACTGGTTCCAGTGATGATAATTGAATTTTTGATGCGTAAAAAATTTGTCGCTCTGGCGAATTTATAGCCTCCATTTAACATGGAATCTCTTGTTTTATTACTTTTTGGGGGTATAGAAAATAATGCGAATTTGCAGATTTATTAGTGAGTGAATCCGACAAGGAGACGAGTCTGCCCCGCTTTTCGCAACTGATTCGTCTCTGTCCAAAGTATGCAATAAGAAGAGTGCATTTGTTGGGGGCGCAATAAATGTAATGCAGTAAATAAAACCGAGTGCCATAAACCAGACAATCTCAGTTTATTGCAGTGCACCGATTCGAGACATACGGGAGGTTGCATATATTCGAGGACAGGCGAATTAGACGTGTTTTCGACTTGGTCAAACATAAATAAAATTGCAGTAAATTCCACAACACTGCATATCTCCAAAAAGTCAAAAATTTACATTATTCTGGGGTTTTTATCTAAACTGCTAAAATACTACAATAACAAGAACAAGATCGAACTTAGGTGTTTCAAGTGTAATATGAATCCAAGTCGAAGTTTTATTACAAATTAAGAACCTCATTTTTGAACTGCCCCGTTGAGATATACAGGGTGTCCCAGCAAGTTGAAAATGACCATTAGTGACCTTTAAATAGTAAAATTAAAAAAAAATTGTATAGGACATTGATAGATACTAATCTAGTGCATCACCTAAATTTATTTTCAACCATACAATATGTCTCAAAAATAAGTTACGATACAAACTTGTGTTTTTTAAATGAAACACCGTATGTTTCTTTGCATTTTTGGATGTAGCCTTTTAAAACAATGTTTTTACGCTAAACTTTTATTAGTCGATTTCGCGTAGTTTTAGAAATAAAACGTTTTTTTTTTGACGAAAACATGTACTTTTTAAATACTTATTACACAAAAACTTAAGACAGCTAGAACAATTTTTTTCTTACTTCTGCAAAGAAGAAAGTGCAGACTTTAAAGCTGTAGCCATTTTTTAGTGTTTTGCATTTGTAAAGATTAATAAATTAAGCAGTTTATTAAAAGTTAAGAAATTCGAAATTTTATTGTAAAAATAAAGAATAATGGATTCAATTTAACAC